AACTAACGGACGAACTAGCGATGTGTACTGGGAGTACTCACACAGGCATGCATGTAGTACTGGGATACTCACACAGGCATGCATTGTACTGGGATATCACACAGGCATGCATGTGTACTGGGATACTCACACAGGCATGCATGTGTACTGGGATACTCACACAGGCATGCATTTGTACTGGGATACTCACACAGGCATGCATTTGTACTGGGATACTCACACAGGCATGCATTTGTACTGGGATACACCTGATTTGTAGAGGCGACTTTACTCTGAAGCAGATACAAACTGATTGTCTGCCCGCTGATCCGGGCCATCCTCGTTGATAATGAAACACACACATATACGTACGTACAAATAGTCACACATACTGACCTGAACCGACATCTTCAACAGTTACTAACTGTTCTATATATTGCAATTTTTGGCACTCTTCCCATCGGTACAGAAACAGAGAGGTGCATGCACTTACAGATTCACATATTGACCCACACAAACACCCTGGACGCAGCTACAAACTGGTTAACTAGGCCGCACACCTCTATAGGTCATTCTCAGCCCAAATCACACACACACACACACCACACATAACTAACCTGGACAAACATTTTGGCAGCAGTTACAAACTGATTGCCTGGGCCGCAAATTTTGTCCACTTTTGGGACTGAGGCGGTGCCGTATGACATAGCCGCAACGGCCTGGGCCCCACCCGCCAACAGGATCTTCTGTGCTCCAACCTAGGAAAGTGCAGCAAGTAAACGGAAGGGAGGATACAATTAGGGATAGACGGCTACTATGCAGAGAAAAAATATTAAAAAAATGCCGAATTCGGGAAGTACACACTCGATACTAGAAGAAATCCTGCTGCGGTGATTAGGAAAGTGAACAAGGAATCGAGGAAGATACAAGCCCATACGACACGAGAAGAATGAACAACACAGTTGCCGACACTCTTTACAAGTGGCACAAAACACTTGCAACTGTCCTTCAACTCAAGAGTACACGGTGACAGCGTCGGACTGAATGAGAGCTCATAGCAACCATGTGCCACTCATTTCCGGTCAAAGCCTCAACACACCACAGATCACCCCACCTCCCGGATGGACATCACATGAAACGAACACGCAGTTGGGCTGGCATAGATAAACACGCCAGACAGTCGGACACAACTATAGCGCTATAAGAAGCACACGCCCTTGTGAACGACAGGTTTTAACCGAGGGGTCTATACGATACCTTTTGCGCAATGTACAGGATCTCATGGGGCACTCCGCCGTCCATCGTGGGTGGGGTGGCAAAGACAATGGTGGAGCACCCGGCCACCATAGCAGGCACACCCTGTGACGTTTGCAAGCGGGGGAGTAATCTATTAATAGAACGTGTGGATACGGAGCAATGTTATATCCCGTAGTTGGGACGCGGTTGGTTGATGAGTCAGGCACGATCAACGGCTGTACTAGGCGGTGGGGGGGATGCAACGGCAAAGCAGAACGGGCCTTTGTGACAGAGAGAGACTAAACGATACATGTGAATGTAGTCAATGTATTGCATACGACGGCGGGAAGAGCTGCCACCATAGCAGGCACACCCAATGCAACAGGTGCAGGGGCGAATGTACTAGATCTATTAATAGAATAGACTAATGTGTAGGTATGCCTTGCAATGGCCTTGAAGTAGACACGATGGTGCAGCAGGGCCGATGTCTTGGGGATCATTTATGACTGTTGATGAATGCACAGAGTCGTGGAGGACTGTACCCAAACTGACGGTGTAGTTTCTGCGTCAGTAGGTTGTAGTGGAAATACATACATAGGTAGATTGTAGTGGAAATTCATACATAGGTAGGTTGTAGTGGAAATACATACATAGGTAGGTTGTAGTGGAAATACATACATAGGTAGGTTGTAGTGGAAATACATACATAGGTAGGTTGTAGTAGAAATACATAAATAGGTAGGTTGTAGTGGAAATACATACATAGGTAGGTTGTAGTGGAAATACATACATAGGTAGGTTGTAGTGGAAATACATACCAGCATTAGTGCTGTAGATGGCAGCACAGCGGTGCCTCCAGGGACGTACAGACCAACGCGTTGAATAGGGCGGCTGTAGCGTGAGCATTGTACGCCCTTTTGAGTCTGTGGGAGAATATGGGGTACTGAGTGCGTGAGTATATGCATTATGTTCAACAGATAGATGTACGTGTGGGATCATATTTGTTGTATTTTGGGTCTGTGAGAGTATAGGGCATAGGCGTGCTGGGGTATATGCATTATATTTAACAGATAGATGTATGTGTGGGATCATATCTTGGAAGGGTGTTAAACGTGTGTATAACGTTATTGGTTGTTTTGGGCAACTTCCGAAGGATATACGGGTATGAAATACAGAAAGTGCACGAGCGTGTGCGGTATTGTTACAAACACATGAACGCGTATAAACGCATTTGTTGTTACTGGGCGTGTGCCGCACAATCGAATCTTTTAACGCGTGCACGTGCAAGAGCAGTCACATGGCGTAGAGGTGTACCAAAGTACCCACAAAACTGCCATAAAAGGGAATCTCGACACACACACACGAAACCCATTAATGCTGGTGAGGGCCGAAGCAATGGCATGCGGAACTAGGACGCACATACATCTCTACGTTTGCAATTCAGGCGCTATGCGGAATACAGATGCGAGTATACAAGCACCAATTTGCCGGTACACATGCAGATACACTGTGCCTCTATCGACAGTGGCATCCTCGAGATGAGTGAGACATAGATGAGTAAGACATACAGATGAGTGAGACATAGATAAAGAGAATGATGGAGAAGGACAGCCTGGACTCATACACAGGCACACATACGCTTGCAAGTCACGGCATGCAGCAGTACGTGCAAATACAGTACAGATGAAGATACCCACAGACATACACCTGCGGGTCATAGTATGCATATGTGCGTACAGGTACATACACGCCTACAGATGAAGGTGCATCTATATGCGCAGTAGTGCGCACACACGTGACTCTGCCGACAATGAAACCTCCCAAACTTGAACCACGTGATGTCTGCGAACACTGTTGAAGAAAACCAATTGCTAACCAAACCTATACGTCCGCATAAACATACACATCCACATACAGACAGAGACACCCATACAAGCACACACAGGGACACACATACAAGCCACGACACCTACGTAGAAATACACATACACATACAAATACCCATACACCAGCAGACACGCCTTGTATGTACACAAATACACATCCACATACCTCTACCGACAATGGTGCCTCCGAAACCTGGGCGGCGTGGAACTTCTGGATATTGTTGAAAGCCAGATCAATCGCATCCCGAACTTCGGGGTCCAGTTTTGGCGCGGGAGTGGAGGCGACATCGATGACAGGCGAAGCGAGTGTTACTTTGTCAAACTTGGCGGTCAGCTCCAGAAGGGCCGTATCACCACGCTTGCTGTTGCGGTGCAAATATGGGAGGTAGGAAAAATGAGAGGCAAAATATAGTAGGTAGCTTTGGCAACCACAGGGACACATGAGGATCTACAACAAAACGCAGGAAAGAATGTGCCACACCTGTACACGTAATACAGGATGCGCGAAACTATATACTGAGCATGTATTTACAAACCACAAGACCATGGGCAGTGCGGAGAATTGGGACTAAACTGAAACAAACATGTATCAATGATGAACCCTTCCCACGACATCACATGAGGCTTGCAATAGATGATTGAAGGTAGAACAATGCAACTGCATACATACATCAATACCTACACCGACCCTTGTTTATTTACATACACACACACACACATATATATATATAATGCACTCGATAGCTCACACCCCGGAATGAACATCCGATTTACACAAGCACTCTCTACGAATCCAACACAGCACTCGGAACATACCCACAGCTAGAAACATGCGTATTTCCTATACGCATCCCTGAACATATCCACACATACATGCATACATCCACACACACATATATACGTAAATAAATAAATATATACGTATATATGTACATAATAAAGCTAAGCTCACAAGCCTTACCGAACATCGTCAATGATGGTTGCACAGGCCTTCTTCACGAACTCAGACTCGGACTGCGCCGGGCGCTTGCACAGATCCGCAACAGCGTCTTCTGATAGGCCTTGCAGCACGTGCTGTTGCAATTGGATCTCCGCTTTGGCATCTGTGGTGGTATCTGCGGCATTCGTGGCGGGTTCTTTCTTGGCTGGGGCTACAAATAGGTCGATCACGCGTGTATGAGTAAACCACCGAACAGATATGTAAATATAAACAATATACAAATGTAGATACATATAACGTGCACTCTCAAGATGTAACCGTATGCGCAAGACACTCCTCAGACAAACATTGATCGGTGGTGACGGGGGGTATGAGTGAACCAACGAACAGATATACAAATACAAATGCATAGTACGTACACTCTCAAGCTGTAACCGTATGCGCAAGAGATACACCGCAGACATACCTTGCTCGGTGGTGACGGGGGTTAGAGGCACCTTGGCATTACCGGGTCTGCGCGTTAGCTTGAGGTGACGGCGTGCCAGGTGAGCCTCTACGTCTCTCAGCTCAACGTTCTCAGCCGCACACTTGACCATTGCGAAGTAGAACAAGTCCGCCGCCTCCCAGCAGATCTGTGGGATAGGGGGTATGTGGTGAGGGGTAGGTGGGGTGGTTAGTCGTTGAGGTACTTTTAGGTAGATGTACATGGTGATGATTACGATAGAAGGTATGGTATTCGGAAGGTTTATGGTGCAATGACAGTTTGTAGGGTATAGGGTATATGCCGATGTTGGATAGAACGTATGGTGTTGATGAGGGTTATGGTAAAAGGACAGGGTTGTAGGATATATAGTATACGATGGTGCTGGTGATGAATATAGTAATCGTGAGGCTTGTATATAGTACGGTAGATATATAGGGTATGGGGTGTATGACGATGCAGGTTAGAGAGTATGGTATTCACGAGTTTGTGGTGCTTCGTTGACAGGTAATGAGCATAAGATAATCCCTTATTAGACACATTATAACTACACTTATATATGTATATATAAATTTATAGGTATACATATGCGGATGGATATACAAAGATAAACATACGTCAATATCACATAGACATGAAGAACAAAAACAATCATACGTGTGAAATTATATATATATATATATATACCATCATAATCTATACGCATACACATACCTCGTCTTTCTTTGTAGCATCGCACAGTTCCCCAGCCTCTTCAACTATTTTGGCGTGGAGCAAGGCCCTGTCCTTAAACAGCCTGTTTGTGTAACTCTTCTCGTCTGTGTTCAGATTCTCCTTTCGTGACTTGATACTCCGTTCTAACTCGGATAGACCAAACTGTTGGCCAAAACACGATCTGAAAGTATAAACCAAAAACAGGTGCAGCAAAAAGGGATTAAGTACTGGGTATATGCAAGTACCGAACTGATTGCAAAGTGTCGCAATTCTCAGTACGCCGTTCACCAGCTGCCACTTACAACAAACAACCCCTGGGACCCAATACATACAGGGAGGCCAAAGGACTATCGAGCAGTCATCGATTGAAGACTAGTCCGAAAGCAACACGGGTGTAGATGCCAATGAACATCTAATGTATTATACAGGCGCCATGGAACCCTGAATATGAATACGTCCACGATCTACAAAACAATCGATGCTATGAGGTCGATCACGCAGCGTTTGCAAACGGTATGGCGGCCATCACCGGTTTCAGTCGCATATATTAATATATATATATATATATACATACATACACATAGAATATATATATATATATATATAAATACATGCAGACATTGCATAGACGTACATACCTCGTCTCCAGGTGACAGAAGCCTGTGCCGGCTTGCTTGACCACAAAGCGCAGACTATCGTTGTCACAGTCGGCGTATATAGAGATCAGGTGCTGCACTGCCCCGGATGTCTCGCCCTTGTACCACAGTCCTCGCTTACGGGACTGGTACACACCTCTCATAGTATTGACGGATTCAGCGATACTGTACAAACAAGAAGGGCGTGTTAGGATGAATTAGGCATACCCGTAATATCCACGTGATTCAGGGAGACTAGAGCGACTAGCAACAATATACGTATCTGTATATTCCTTTGGAAAACTATATTTAAACTATTACACCAAATGCTATATAGGAAGTGCACAACTCAGCTACACACACACGGTAACACATACCCTACCTTTCCTTACTAGAATAGACTAGACCCAGCGCAATGCCGAACTCGTCTACCACCACTGTGGCGAATAGGCCATCCTGTCGGTCACTCACCAACGGCGCCGCAATGGCAGCGCCCAGCGACAGCTCTGCGGAGAATAGGGTGATTGGTACCTATGTGGAAGAAAGCCAATCGGGTACATAAACCAAGTTTACATCAGTCTATGGATACTACTATGTAAATATAGGGCAATAAATGCTTAGAATATACGTTAGAAGATTTTGTGGATACTGGGTACTCCAACTGCTATCAGAATAAGTGGCGTAATTCGTACAAACGTATATGCCTCGCATATGATGAAGCTATGGAAGAAATATGAATGGACAATACGTACAGTGACAGCGTGCAGCAAAAACAGATATATATATGTATATATACGCGTATATGTATATGTCAATGTATATGAATACATACATACATATTCATATACACATACATAGACAATATATATATATTATGAAGCCATGCAGGATTAGTGCACGACCGTAAGCTGCATTATGCTTCAACCATACAGCCTTACACATGAGTGTGTATGTATGCGAAACGCTGTTGCGAAGTGGTGTAAGGTCTAACGAAAGCAAGCTAGCTCATGTCACGAAGGAAAGACTACTTGGCAATGAGTATAATACGCTTGCCGAAGACGTTCAAGCATACATGCTCACACAACCGGCGTGTACTTATACTTGTAGACACCTCTGAGCGCCACAACGGGACGTATGTGTGTGAGAACGTCCTGTCATACACTAGTACAAAAAATTACATATTACTTCTAAACAATACAAATTACTACTAAGCATGGTACATTACTACTAAGCATGGCACATTACTACTAAACAATACACACTACAACTAAACATTACACGTTATTACTAAACATTACACACTACTACTAAACATTACACACTACTACTAAACATTACACACCAATACTAAACATTACACACTACTACTAAACATTCCACACTACTACTACTACTAAGCATTACACACTACTACTACTACTAAACATTCCACACTACTACTAAACATTACACACTACTACTACGACTAAACAATATACACTACTACTACAACTAAACATTACACGTTATTACTAAACAGTACACACTTCTACTAGACATTACACACTACTTCTAAACATTACACACTACTACTAAACATTACACACCACTACTAAACATTACACACTACTACTAAACATTACGCACTACGACTACAACTAAACATTACACTACTACTAAACACTTTGCATCAGAAAAACAGGACCTCAGTAAGAACTACATCGTTGTGTGCGCCCTTCCACTCTCAAAAGCGTCAAAAAGAGACCCACATGCATGCATACACCGCATAGTGGCATGAACCGCAATGAAAAGACCTAATTGTATGTGTACGGCTCATTGTGTAGCAGTATATACACCAACATTCTTCGATAATACAAAGCACAAGTATACACATACACATATACATATACGTACACATACACATATACATGTACATATACGTACAGTTGTGCGTAAGTGTCAACGGTCTCTCCGTACCTGTACTTGGTAGCCATGCAGTGATACCTCCGTGATATAGTCTGCTGTCAGGGTGTGGGGTGCATCCACACACACGCAGCACTCAGACGACTTCGACAACGCCTTCAGACGCGCATCAAGTGCGGCTGCAGAATATAGGGACGTTATTGAGTGACTGTGGCACATCTTCACACAGAAGTATAGGGTACCGTACGGATTTTGGGGTACGTACGCGTGTAGTTATGCAAGGGATCGTCTATGAACAAATCAGGCCTAGACTGCACGCAGACATGCATGCAAGGATGTGATGTCTTGAAACCACACTGATATTCTGGCGCCCGGGGGGGGGGTGGGTAAGGGGAGAACCCGAACGTAGAAGGTAACGAATACACACACTCGGTGTTTGCAATATAGGCGCAACCCCCCCCCCACACACAAAGAGAGCTGGTGCAATGATAAACTAATCAGCTAATAACATACCGGCGATAGGGGCGTGAAATAAGAGAGTACCGAACTTGGCCAGGTTGTCGTCACTAATTTTATCCATAGCCGACTGTTTTCGAAGAATATGTACAGTATATATACGTGAGTATATTGGTATGTGTAGATATACGCAGGTGTATATAATGTAGTATGTGTAATTGTAATAGACAACTGAATGGTTGTTTACATTTACAGGATCACGCACTGCCATCAGCGACAATATATATATATATATATATAAACACACAGACACACAACTTATACACAGGCACACAGGCAGAGACATATACATATATACATACAGACAACAGTCGCGCACGAGAAAAAACCGCAAAACACTGGTACCTTAACCGCAGTTGCAACTACCACACAAACTGTGATACCCACCGCAACTCAACAACAAATACTTTTAATCTCTACAGTGAAACGACAGAAGAAAAAAAATTCGAGCAATCACATACTCACGAGGCTGCTCAACACCATACTTACAAACCGAACCAAACAAACGTCAAAAATACAAAACGTATCTACTCTACAGGCCCCTCCGGGACTATACACCACGTGTGAAGCAAGTGAGAGTATCTATAAATAACCAAATACCTACCTCACTGAGCTCCAAGGCCAGCCTCTCACGCGGGATGTCTGTGAGGGCATCCAGGTTCATGGCCTGGGTGAGAACTACCTGGTTGACACCGCCGTCTAACAGTCGCACTACACTCTGTACATCGCTGATGGGACCCTTGACTCGCAATACGCTTGAAGTAGCCCTGGGTGAGCCGGTGGGGGTAGTGATTCGGTGTGTATTATGAGGGAGATTGTACGCATTGATACAGGCTAATGAATTAGCGGGGCATATGGTGACTACTGAACATAGGACAATACACATGCTTTGGTGATATAGTTACAGGCGTGCATTATATATATATAAATAAATATATATATATATATATAAATAAATATATATATATATATATATATGTATATGTATACACACACACACTAACACACACACATATATATAAATATATACATACACAAACGCACACAAATAGATACATATACATACACATGAATAAGTATATAACACATACACACGCCCATATATATAGGCATATATATATATATATAATATTTATATCTATATATATATATACTTATATATACAAATATTTAGTTCAGGGAATATTCAGTGGGGATAAATACGTATATGACACATGATATATATGATATATATATATATACATACATATATACATACAAACATATATATATATATATACGTATATATATATATATACACGTATATATATTTATATGCATAAAACTACTTATATAGATATGGTTTCTTCATCTTTATATATATAGATATATAAATATGTTTATAAATACACATATACATACGTGCATACACAAACACACACAGACACTATACATATACACCCACATATATATATATATATATAAATATATATATATACATATGTAAATAGAT